TTTTTATTTTTTATTTTTTTTTTCCCCATAATACCCAGCCCCTTCTATTCTGGAGGGCATCAGTCCGGTTGCTCATCACCGGCAAGCCTGGAAAAACAAAATACAGTTTGATTGAAAAGAGAAGAGGAAAGCCTTACCCTTGCGGCCCTAGACGCCTCTCAAGGGGGAGATTGCTACAACCAAAACCCACTTCCCATACCATAGCCGTCCCAGGGACACCTCTGTTGGTCGGGAAGCTTCCTAGCAGCACCCAGTCACACAACAGACGGGTCCCCAGGAGAGGCCTAGGTCGGGGGGGCTGTTCTAGCAATCTCACGAGCCTCTCATCATGTTAAACCCTTCCTCAGTGTCCCTATTAAGAGCCTCTGGGCACCATCTAATATTTACATCCTCATACCACCCTCAAATCTCCACTACGCAGTCCTTTATACAACCTGCCCCAAGTATCTCTGATATTCTCAAGTATCGTCTACGTCTAAACCCTATCAACTTTATGTTTTATGTTTTATGTTTTATGTCTATCCGGCTGATATGTTTCCAACCTCACTCTTGCCTTATTTCCCCGCCCTCTTCTGAGTGCAGTAGGTTTCTCTTGTCTCATCATGGAGAATCCTTGCTGAACCCCTATGGCCAAAATAGGCCCCTTATTCTGAGTTAAACTAAAAACCGTCGCAAATGCCTGAAACCAGGTAGACCATCCCTATTCTAGTGTAGTTGAAACTACTTGAAGCTTATCCCCAGCAGTATATTCAACAGCATATTCAACACTCAAAATGGTTTATGATATTTTTCAAACTTCAATTTTTTTTATATATATATTTTTTTTATTATTATTTTTTTTTTAACAAAGGTCAAAGGTCAACTGTTCAACGGAAGTCCAACCCCAGTGGATTCCTGGTCGCCGCTCGAGCAAGTGTGGTGATGGCCAAGTGGCTGCATGCCTTGCTCTCGCTGCTCTGGTCGTTCCGATGCTTATCATCTCATCATAGGTACAGAACAGGAATGGATTCGCTGGAGAGGCGGTATCCAGCTGTCCCATTTGGGCTAGCCTAGTGAGGGGGTGTTTCATTGCTTTTACACTTTGTACATTTTGGCATGATGTTGCTGATTTTTTTTTTTTCTTTTACACCACCTCAAAAAGTAAGTTTAAACTATGTCGAGAGGCGTGATTTAGAATCGACATTGCCTAGCAAACGTAACCTGAAAATTTGGCTCTGATTGTTCAATTTGTCAGTTTTAAATTTCTGCAGCTTGCTGTCTAGAACTGACCCCTGAAAACCCATGACAAAAAAAAAACAAGGTCACCCACCACAAGTTTCCCCAAGAGTCCAAATTGACCCAGCAGTGCCAGCACATGTGCACTTTTCACTTCCAAACAAGGGCTGGGTCAATTTTATGTCCAACTCCCGATGCTTGACGATTGTCGCACCCCTTCTTCATTCACACGCATTCCGCTCCTGTTCTGCTTCTGTATCTGGTTCTGTAGCTGGTCCCCCTTCTTGCTCAGCTCAGAAGCAGAACAGGAAGGAAAAGAGTACAATTCAATAGTCCACCCGCCCTTGAGTTCGTTCCAGAAGGATTAGGATTAGTCCGTCCAACGTCCGAGGTTCGAGAGTCGCCGGACCCCTCCTTTGCAATTGCATTTCTGGTTTTGGATCTAGTTCTTCTAACTCGTGTCCGAAGAAGAACGAGAAGGAAGAATAGAGTTGAGTTGCGCAATGTAGATGCGTAACAACAGTGCAATTGGACGTTCCCACCCAATGTGCAGGTGGCCACAACCGCCAAGCGATTTCACACTTGTGGCGGCTTTTGATGTTTCTTTCATGTGGAACCACTGCCTTGAAGTTGGGGGGCAAGGCAGTGGTGCCCAGAATCAGCCTGGCGTAGGGTCACTGCAGGTGGCGATGATTTGCGAGCAGCGTCACATCCCACCTGCTGCCAGCAGCTGTCGAGAGGGCCGTGCGATGGTTCTCTGTTGACGGTGGAGACGCTTTGGACCCCATTAGGGAGGGGAGGGAAAGCCCCCGGCTAGGTTTATGTTCTTCGGTAAGGGGAAGTAAGAGCAATGCCAGAGGACAAGGGAGAGGATCGGGAAGGTTGTGCCCGGCTTTTTTCGTGTTTGACCGGGATGCACTGGGCCCCAGCTGTTTTCGTGTTTGACGGGGCTGCACCGGGCCACAGGGCCACAGCTGTCACAGTGGTTCCTAGAGCTCCACGTCACCATCGCCGAAGTTGGTCATGGGAAGCAATCAATGTCACATCAACTGGGGCTTGTTATGCTCGAATACAACACAGGCCGTAAAGCCGTAGACAAGTTCCATATGGGACACTCGGTCTCATACACCAACTGGTCCAACGCATCCTACCAGCGTCGACGATCTCACTGCGCAGATTCGAACAAGCTATACATGGCCTCCAGACGTATGAGACTCATATTCATGTAGTTTGTTTGTAGAGCTTCGTAAACTGTCTTATCATCCTCTTTGTTGTGTTCTCTAACTTCTCTTCATTATTTAATCTCTCTCTCTCTCTCTCTCTCTCTCTCTCTCTCTCTCTCTCTCTCTCTCTCTCTCTCTCT